GAGAAAATAAGAAAGTATCTCATCAATCTTGGGCTCGGAGTTAATAATTTGTCCCCATCATCAGTTTTTCAATTGATTTTATTTTGTCACTGATTCTCGATCGAGAGATCACACTTTTATCTATTAATCTACTCGAACGATGACGATTTCTCAGTACTTACGTTATTATTTGACATAGTATGTAATGTTTTCGATTGATTGACTRCTCAAATACCTCAATGTTTTTTTGCAATTCGAAATTTTTCAAATATTTTAACCACAAGTTTTTTTTTATAATTACGTTATCGGCATGCGATGTTACGACGTCCAATTACGATGTTCGAAATATAATTGTAAATTCCTTTTAATTACTCATACCATTCATTCAATAATTGACTTACACGAGCTTAAGACTGGCATGCGCTAGATAATTGCACAATTTAGGGGACTGATAATTATTTAGTTTATGAATTAGCACATATACATACATAAGCACTTACAAATGTATGTGCTGCCTTTAACAGAATCGCTGTTTGTTTGCATATACTCGTGCAATGTATACTTATCAAATTTCTCCGAACCATCCTCATATAACCATAGAAGTATATAAATACCATATGTACATGTATTTACATATACATAGACGTAAAAACCCATTCAATAATTGCTCTTGCACCATTTGTGACAACAGCATTGACTTGGCAACACTGTTGCTTCGTACATATTTATATAATTGCTTTATTGTGTCTGCTAAATTCCCAATTGTATGTGCAGCTAAGTTTGTATATAGTACGTATGAATGTGGTTTTTCAAATTAGCATGCATCAATATAGTGTTCGAAACCACGAAATAAACCTTCGCAATAGACGCTCTTCATTTAGTATATATACATATTTGGGCACTTTAAAACCCCAAATTATACAATTTCTCTTTTAAGGCATAACAAACGCCCTGTTTTGCATACATATGTACATATGAATATATTTTTAAGATAAAATACATGAAAGTGTATGAAATTAAAATCGAAATTCTTTTAGATTTTTGAAAGGAATTAAATTTTTTTTTTTTTTAATTTTAAGGATCATTTCATAATTTCAAGAATGTACTGAACTATGATATAAATATTCAATACCACATGTTTTTTTTTTATTATTTTTCACACAAAAGTAGTTTTCATTCCCAAAATATGGAAATTTTTCGATTTAATATTTAATTTAATCAGTTATTTGTAATTAGTGAAACTAAACCGACTTGAGAAAAATATTCAGCGATCGCATTTGTGGTAATTTCAAGAGTTTATGAACACTTCATGACTACTTTGATACGAAAGAAAATATTCCAGTGCGCATTGACATATGATAGCCATATTTAGCGGCAACTTATTCCATACCTTTACCTTTATCACTTAGAGTTAAACATCTTAAACAGGGCTCAAGATATTCAATTAACTATGTTCTCCTCTAATACGCTTTATTTTTATCTAAAAGAGGAAACTTATACAGTTTTTAAATGATCTCCTACAGGTGGCTGATTTTCTGAAAAACTTCTACCTGTCAGAATTGAAACTATGTACTAGCCGTCTGTTATTCGAAAAATCTTGCCATAATTTTCGATTTTATCTCAAACACTATTTATTGTAAAATTACGACCGTCGAATCATTGCACCCTGAACAGGGTATATTAAGTTTTCCAGAAAGACTGTAAAATAAAGAAGGATATGTCGGAAACCCTGAAGAATATATGTCTTATTCTTCGTCTATTCTTCTTATGTCGAATATAATGTGAGTTTACAGCAGCGCGCCAAATGTTCTTCTCTTCTCAATTTGGTGCTAATTCGAGATATCAAGTGCAGCCAGGTCCTTCTCCAACGGGGGTACTGGGTGAAATACTTTCAACGCTGGAGCGTTTTCATCCATATGGACGACATGACCTAGCCAGCGCTGCCTTTTAATTCGCTGAACTATGTCAATGGCGTCGTATAACTCGTGTCGCACATCGTTCAATCGAATGTGATATTTGCCGTTGCCAATGCGAAAGGACCATAAATCTTCAGCTTCTCAAAAACTCTTAACGTCAACTCATTAGATGTTGTCATCGTCCATGAATACGCACCATATATTATGACGGGAATAAAAGTGACTTATAGAGCTTGGTCTATGTTCGTCAAGAAAAGACTTTACTTCTTAATTGCCTACTCATCCGAAGTAGCACATCTTCTCAACAGTTATTCTGCGTTGGATTTCGAAGCGGATATTGCTGTTGGTGTTAATAGTGGTTCCAAGATAGACGAAATTATGTACGACTTAAAGTTATGACTGTCAACAGTGACGTGTAAGCCAAGTCGCGAGTTAGACTGTTTGATGACAGGAGATATTTCGTCTTGCCCTCGCTCAATATGTCTTATTACTGCAAATATAAAGAAGCTGACAAGTGCCCAAAAAAGTGTGGTTCTTACTTTAAAAGAAGAAAATTACATCGCTAGGGCAATTGTGTTCATTCTAAAGTTTTATAAACTAAGCATAGGACGCAACTAAATCCTTGGACAGCGCTCCGTAAGTGGATTCACGAAGAAAAAAACATCAACTAGGAATTTAAAGAACTTTAACCGGCGGGATCGATTTCGAACGATATACGGTGTATATAAGTGCACGCAATGGTAAGCAGGAGGCTCTATAAGATGGCCCTTAAAGCGAGAAGGCCAAGAAAAAAGTCTCCTCTAAATGCAAAAATGCGAAAGGCACGCCTGATTTTTGTTCGAAAACATCGAATTTGGAATCTAAAAGATTTTCAAATCTATAATAGTAAGAGATTTTCCAATCTTCTAGAGTCCAAATTCGATGTTCTTGGATTTTCACCGAAAAATCGAAAATATATTCTAATTAAACCGATGGAATCCATGACGTTCGGAGGAGATTACAAGAAGAATTGCTTTCAAGCACTGTGGTAATCAAAAAAAATTTCTAGTGAGTTACATATTTTGCTACAGAATTTCCTGCCATGGTTCAATGAATTGAATCAAATGAATTTGTAAATGGTTCACTAAATACTTCTGGGTATATTGACATTACTAAACACTTTTTAGAACAAACAATGGATGTCTTGTTTGCTGTAATTGTCAACGTCGTAAGTATTATATTTGTTAACTACGCAACTATTTTTTTCAAAATAGCTAATACAAAAGGAAAGTTAAAGTTAGCCATAATTGACGCATAAATATTGGTTATTGTTGGAAATTGATTGGACCATACCCGAAAGGATTACGGTTGTTCTGAAAGCTAAAGGAGAGCATACACAATACTAACTTTATTTTAAATGTTTATTTTTAGTTATAAGGCCAATCTTTGTCAGAAGAAGGAAATAATTCACTAATGTAAAAGAGATAAAATTAAATTATACTCATACGCCAGCGGGCCATTGTGTTTTTTTCTTCTAGGTAGCACCTACATTACGTTAAGAACTTTAAAAATTATATTTTTTAATGCATGCTCTTCAAAACATGGTTACGCAAGAGGAATATAAACATAAAAATACTGCAATTTGATTCGTATTTCAAAATTCCGAGAGTGTTAACATTGCATTGACCACTTAAGTAAATAAGGGTGGATCAAAACACGAATTTTTTTCCCTTGGTACTTTGACAAATTGGTTGATGAAAGCCTCTAGGAAGGGCTCCCCAAGTATGAGCTTCTAATTGTAACGGGAATAACCTAACGGTTTTCTATTTTATCGTATTACAAGATACGAAGATTTGTTTTTTTTTTTTGGAAATCGAATGCTCATGACTTTTTCGTAAACCTAATTGTTTAGAAGTTATTAAGGGTTGATATTTGATTATTTCAATGAAAAACAAAATTGTTTTCTTATGAATTTTATAACTAAATGAAAAGAAATCATTTTAAATTGCAAAGCTCATAATCTTGAGCCCTTCTGTTATACTCGTAAACTAATACCAAATCTATACTTACCTACTTATATATAACATTATCACGTCCTTTGAAATTAATTTAGCATCATATTTTTTTATTGGAGTAAATTATCCACGATTTTAGGTTTTCGAGTGTAGCTAAAGACTTTCTCCCATTCTAAAACGTTTAACGGGTGATAAGAGTTTCTAAATCGGTCTATTCAAGGCTTCAATAGTAACAACTTCTGCACATTTGTGAAATATTATTATGGTTATCGTATACATCAGTCATTTCGATTACTGAATCTACAACCGTACATAAGAAATAATATCAGATGTGATAGATGTATGATATCCAATAGTAATTCCGGTCATAGTACACAAGAATGCAAGAAATAGAGATTATGATTTTTTCCACCAATTACTTCTTTTGAATGCATTTGACAAAAAAAAAAAACACATTAATTTTTCGGCTAAGAATAAAACTAGTCTATCGAAGTCATGACTTAAAATGAAATATATCCTTGCCAAGGAAAGTTTTTAGCTTTTATTAAGTGAAAAATTTGTCATATTTATGTGCTCCATTCCACTTTTTAAAATTTTTAATTTTTTGAAATCTTCGTAGGTGAATTTTTCAGAAAATTGTATGACCTACAAGTATACGCAATGCAAAATATATAATATTATCCTAAGCAGTTAAAAATTGTGGTAATTCTATTGTGACCAGAATTTATTTATACGAAAAACTTTGACCGCTCACCGCCACCTTTTAAAATATTTTATTTGCAGGGATGTTTTCTCTCTTCAATTACAATGAGAAGCATAAGAAAGCGAGGAGAAAGCATAAGATGAGGTATATATACATATATAATAGGTAAAAATATGGAGAATGTGAACACATTTTCAAACAATGAAGCCCAGTTCCATTCTTAAAATAAAATAAAAGGTATTTAATTTTATAAATGAATATTATAGTATAGTATTTTGAAATGTAAAACTTAATTTCCATTGTTGCAAATAAAACAACCCTTTCCCCTTTAAGAAAACAATTAATTTCGCTTACCGTTATATATTTTATACTACGTACACCTAAAAATTAAATATTTGTAGATAATCATAAAGTTAAATATTTAATCTACAATTTAAAGCGACATTTACAAATTACAACCAAGTGCTTCTATTTCATCTAGGAAGTATTTCATATCGTCCTTCGTGAGATTTGAACTTTGCAAGACTAATCGGAAGAAATTCGGTAATTCTCGCAGGGGTTGATAGGTGATCATCATTGAACCCTTCTTGATCATACCCTCTTTGATCTTTGGTGCAACGGCATTTAGTTTTTGATTAAACAAATCACCACGTTCCATGTTTCGTATACTGGGTGGTATATACCAGAAGCTAATATTTGTGCATTCGGGCTTTTCCAGCACCAATTCAAATCCAGGTCGCTCTCTGATCAGCTCAGTGATGTATTCAGACATTTTGAATGCCTGATTGACATGTTCCGCCAGACCATTTGTACCCTTTGCCTTCCACATAAACCAGAATTTATAGACATCCGCACGTCGTCCGCATTGTATGTGTTTATCGCCGGTATCGAATGATGTGTCATAAAATTTATCCTTTTGGAAAAGATATGTTGCATTTGTGGAATGGCAATTGGTCAATATGTCCTTATGGCGTGTGAGAAATGTTGAGCATTGCTGTGAAGCGATAAGCATCTTATGTGGATTCCAGGTGACAGAGTCAGAGCTGAGGAGAATGAAAAATATTTAAATTAAATGAAATTTCAGAAAAAAATAAATGAAATGAAGCAATAAATCCTAAATGTTGTTCTAAGCAATTTGATATCATGAAATTTTCAAGGCTTATTCTGAATTGAAGTCCAAATGAGTTCTGTAAATCAAAAGTTATGTTATCATAGGTCTAAACGTAATGTCCGCAGTGTAGATCACGTGTGCACAATTGTAGACACTCCCGAAGAAAAAACATCTTGAGCTCCTCACAAATCTGTTGAAATGAGTTAATTCGATGCCGCTACTATTCTCAGCTATGTCGAGATATGGGATCCTTATTTTGACTAGATGGATATTCTAAATAAAAATGCGAAAATGATTCTACTTCACCATATTCTTATGTAAACAGGTAGTATGCATACAAAGTTATTTTGAATGAGTAAGGAGTTATCCTTCAGCTTTAGGACCTGTGTCTGTTATGTTCACATTTAGTACTAATTGGCTCTCGAATATACCACTTTCTAAGTATGGAATAGCATTCCTCATAACGAATAGCAAAAACCATCGATCATATGAGGTGGTCAAAGATTATTGGCATCATGCATAAAACGTGATATTAAACTTAGATTTGAATTACACTATGAATGAATGAGTTCAGACTCAGATATTATTACAGAAACTCAAGCTCACTTCTCTTTTCAGCGAAGAGTAGGCTTTCCTCATTTCCGTTAGCACTCTTACTGCATGAAATACTTTCAGAAAGAGTTTGCATTCGGACAACGGTTGAGAATAGCGATACATTTATTATATATTGAAGATTTAAATTAATTTAATATCTAGAGAAATTTCCCACTGAGTTTGTTATCTGACTAAGAAAAGGATTCGAAAGGTCTCAAATTCAATATATTATCAATATATTCAATTGCACTTACCGTTCAATGCCGTTCAATAGATGACGATATTTGTTTGTAATTAGTGCACCGCCACCCCAGGCTGCATCGGTGTGGAACCACATGTTGTATTTCTCACATATATCAGCTACACAGTTCAAGTCATCAAATGCACCTAAAACCGTTGTACCCGCCGTCGCAGAAACCATTAGGGGGCGTGCACCTTTATTTATATAGTGCTTGACCTTCGTCTCAAGGTCGCCAATATCCATTTTACCGTATTGATCTGTCTCAATTTTACAAACACTTTCACTACCGAAACCCATGAACATAGCCAACTTTTCGACTGAATAATGTGCGTCTTGTGATGTGAAAATAATTAACTGTTGGCCACTAAATAATCCATTTTTCTGTAAAGAATATATAAATGGGAAAGTAAGATTTGACAATACAATTTTATACATATCGTCACATAAAATGCAACGTAACGGAAATTTACAGGGGAAAGAATAAAACACGTTATAAAATGGAAGAGGAGTGAAACAAAATTTAAATATTATCTGATAGCAGGACCTAAAAATGTTGGGCATATGTACATATGTATGTGTTTTTATGTGTGTAATTTGAAGTAGTGGATCGTAATCAATGAAACACTCAATTTCGAATTTTTTGATCATACGTTATTTTGCATTTTAGGTGACGATATGGTATATTTACAATTATTAAGCAATTGCATGAAAAATTTATACTAGAAAAATTTAATTATCGAACATACTAACCGAAAATAAAATATATTTTCAAAACTCTAAGACTGCAACTTGACAGTAAAATATAATTTTTGTAATTACTCATACGCCCTGAAGGCTTTCGTAATTTATTTAACTGTATGATTGTAAGTCTTGTTGTCGGTTAAAAATTCACAAACAAACAATGTTGAATTGTAATAATGCAAGATAATGAATTGTTTTGCATAACTTAATGGCAATGCTCTACATACGTAAAGAATACGCAAGGGCAACTCGAGCATCGTATAAAGCTTTGACATAAGATGTCATAGCTTTTATTATAAAGGCTCTTTAGATCATTTTCACTTTCTAGGTACGTGAAGTTTTGGTTTCATATCGCTATTAACGTGACTCACAACTCTTGAGCAGTCTTCATACAACGGTGCTTACGACCAAAATTAAGCACAAACTTCATTAGCAATTTCCTTTTGCTCTTGACGTTTGAATAAATGTAAGTTAGGTTAGGTTAAAAGGTCGATCCTGTGACAAAATCCTAAGGTATCGCACTTATACAGCTAAAACCGTCATTAAAGCTACTTAAAAATTCAAATTTCGTTCTCGTAGCCTTGAATTTGTCACTGATTCTCGATCGAGAGATTACACTTTTATGCTCCATTTTTCAGAAATCTTTTACAGAAACTTTTGCATGAGTGCCAATCTATTGATGTACTCAAACGATGACGATTCGACGATTTTCAGTACTTACGTTACTGTTTGATATAGTATGTAATGTTTTCGATTGATTGACTACTCAAATACCTCAATGTTTTTTTGCAATTCGAAATTTTTCAAATATTTTAGCCACACCCCACAAGTTTTTTTTATAATTACGTTCGAAAATACAATTGTAAATTCCTTTTAATTACTCATACCATTCATTCAATAATTGACTTACACGAGCTTAAGACTGGCATGCGCTAGATAATTGCACAATTTAGGGGACTGATAATTATTTAGTTTATGAATTAGCACATATACATATGCACTTACAAATGTATGTGCTGCCATTAACAGAATTGTTGTTTGTTTGCATATACTCGTACAGTGTATTGTTATCCAATTTCTTCGAACCGTCCTCATATAACCATAGAAGTATTCATACATATGTATATGTATATAAGTACCATATATACTTATGTTTACATGCATACGTAAAAACCCATTTAAAAATTGCTCTTGCACCGCATTGACTTGGCTGAAATTGATTGTTGTTTCGTATATATTTATATAATTGCTTTATTGCATTTATTATCCGTTGTAAACGCTTACTTAAATACCTATGTATGTCTCCTTAATTCCTAATTGTATATGTAGCAAAGTTTGTATATAGTGGGAATGTATGTGGTTTTTCAAATTAGCATGCATCAATATGGTGTTCGAAATCTTCGTAATAGACGCTTTTCATTTAGTGTACTTTAAAACCCCAAATTACACAATTTATCTTTATAGGCATAACAAACGCCCTCATTCACATACATATGTACATATATTACAGATAAAATAGATGAAAGTATATGAAATCCGTATCGAAAACGTTTTAGAATTTTGAAAACAAAACTAAAAGGAATTTTAAAAGATATTTATATTTTAAAATTTTAAGGGCATATATACCGTATATAAATTAAATTTTTATGTAATTTCAAGAAAATGTATATAAATTCTAGTATTACTGAACTATATGATATAAATATTCAATATGTGATACATACATATGTACAGGTATACAACAAAAACAATTATTAATTCCCACAATATACTTTAATTTCATATTTCAACATATTTTTCACACAAAACTAATTTTCATTCCCAAAATGTGGTGATTTTTCGATTTAAAAAATAATAATAATTTAATCAGTTATTTGTAATTAGTGAAACTAAACCGACTTGAGAAAAATATTCAGCTTACGCATTTTTTATTACTTTAAACAACATTTGTGGTGGGTTTGGAACATTTGGATCTAACAGAAGTGAGTTATTGAGCATTTCAAGACTCCTTTGATATATTAGTTTCAAAATCGAACGGACGAACGGAAATATTGCAGTGTACATTGACCTATAATAGCCACATTTAGCGACGATTTATTCCATACCTTTTTCTTTATCACTTAAAATTAAACAGCTTAAACAGGGTTCAAGATATTCAAAATAATGTTTTATTTCCTCCATATCTCAAACAGCTGGCCAACTTTCATTTACATATGAGAGATATCGCTCGTAAAATTGGGCACTAGTTCTTTTCTTCCCTAGAAGCTTCTCATTTGGCCGAACCGTTATCGGCCCACTATATGCCAAACAAACTGAACGATTAAAAACGAGTTCCTATATGGAAAACTTTTTATTTGACAATTTACCATTACGACATGTACAGATTATTGTTCAAGGCAACGCTACAATCTCCGAACAATTCACCTCCCCGATCAAAGTAATATCCTGTTATACCCTGTTCAAAAAAAACATATTAACGGTAATAATGCTTCGGTACAGCAGAAGAAAAATTGCCTGAATCGGCCATTTTGTATAAAAATGCCATAACAATTTTCCTATACCCTGAAATAGAAACACATGTTCAACAAATACTGAAAGACTCATAACTTCATTTTTGATATAGGGTGACACCGTCATTATTGAACTATCTTTAAAAGGTAATTACTGATATTGTCTCGTTAATTAAATTTTAAATTAATATGTCAATTTAATTTTTGTATATAAATGTTCAATAACGACTGAGAGAAATTTGAGTAAATCCCAGAGCAAATTGTTAAAGTAAGGCCTTTTTTTAGAACCTAATCGCTTAAAAAATATTTTGAAAGCGGTTATACTTTCATTCACTCAACTAATTATGCGCATATGAAACATTTTTACACACATTTACTCACTTTAGTTTCCGGTGCATACTTGTAGCGTGCACAGCTGATGCCATAACCATTAGCAATTGAGCCACCTGGACAGAAAATGCCATCACCATAACCATCATTTGGAAAACCAACAATGCGACGCATTTCAGCCAACACCGTCTCCTCCATGAGCGTAAAAATCGGTGCCACCTCATAAGTATACACACTGGGATTCAATGCATCGGTTAGCCATTGTCCAATCAAAGCATAAACATCTACACCAGAATACAGCTGATTTATAAAGTACGGATGTCCGGTCTTAACGGAATACTTAATTGTCGCTTTCAATAATTCAATCAGTTTTGCGTGCGTTTCCGGTTCCGCTTTCAAATTAAAATCAAATAATTGCTGCAATTCGCTCGGTGCACGCCACTCCACCACTTTACTGCCACGATTTGTACCTGCCAGCACAGCCGATTTGATGATTTCATCCATGCAGTTGCGTATGAAACCCTCAGAGCTCACATCTGGATGCCCGGATACGTAGTGTGCTGATGGTATCGTGTCAGCCATATTATTGTTATTATTGGTGTTATTGGCGTTGTTGATCTTCGTTGTGCCGTTGGTCTGTTGCGTCCTCATTGCTGACCCTTTAACATCTGCACCATTAATATCTAAGCTGCATGCGAGTACTTCCGTTTTGGGTGCATTCAACGTTGCGGCGCCTGCCAGTTCGTTGTCAACGCTCTGCAAGTGCTTTTTAAATATAGACTCATTGTAGTGAGTGGGTAAACTATTGCTGGCCAACATTTTTGCGCTTGTATTTGTTTGTTTTAGATTTTTGTGTTTTTATGTTTTTGCTTATTTACTCTTTGTGCTTTGTTTCTATTTTGTTTTTACTGTTAATTTCGCAACCTTCAACTATATAGTTATTCTGCAGGCACACAGAAGACGTATGTGGTCTGTTTATTGTGGTATATAGGACAGTAAATGGTCATATAATGCTCGATGGCCCACTGTGTTTCATGAGATTTGTTGAGTTTTTCGTCGTTGAAATTTATTATATGACAGTTTTTATTTTAGTTTTTTTTTATTTTTATTTTGATTACATATACACCTGTTGCTTGAATATCACAGACTCAATTACATATGTACATATGTATATTTTTTAGTTCAGCTAAATATACTTATGTTCATAATTTCACTGTTCACTTCTGTGCATAATTTTTATTTAGTGCGAAATCTCTTTCTATTTACATATAATTATATTCTTTTGCACAAAATTCTTTGGTTGTAAGTTTTTTAGCTTCAGATAAATAAACGCAGTGCAGTTAAATTACTTCAGGACGATCTTAACAACAATTCGCGTCTTACCAATCTGAGTGTCCGCCAGAATGTGCTGCTGCTTTTATAAATGCTCGCACTTGCAAGATCGGTCTGATTGATCTTTGCAAGCCGAACGGCGAGCACTTGCATTCATACGTATGTACATACAGTTACGTACAGAGGTATGTATATGAGCGCTTCGTGCATTCGCTTTGATTCTAACGTTTTTGCTCGTTGCGCTGCTGTCGACGCTGACACTGCTTAATCGATGTAAGTTCACTGTAATTACTTACATATGACCACATGTAAATGCTGATGTATGTAAGTACTGTGAAATGTTACACCTGCACAGTTGTCGCATGCCACCTGTTGTGGTGATGCACTTCGACTTACATACCCACAAATGTTTCTAAGCATATATGTATGTTTGTCCATATGCAATGCTTAGTTGACACATGTATATTTATATGTATAGTATAAGTCATGTAGTTTCGTGCAACATTTATGCACCAGATGTTTATGATCTATGGACTTTCCCGTTTAATCTGCTTCAAATTCGTACAATTTCGCTAATACACATACAATATTTTTTTTATTAATGTACATATGTAATTTTTAAGAAATTTATAACGTATATTATGCATGTTTGTATTAAGAAACAGTAACACATTCAGTAAAAAAAAAATTAAAAACAAGAAAAATGTTTAACTTCGCTTTCATAGAAGAATTTAATTTGAATCGGCCAGTTTGAATAACAGCTAAATGCTATAGTGGACTGATCTAAAAAATTGATTCAATGGTTATACCTTTGATCGTTTAATTTGTATGACGGCCATATGCTACAGTGATATCTAGCGATCTCTTGCCCTCAGGCTAGCCTTCTCTCATTAGTAGTGGGGCTTTTAACAGGCCACTGCTCTATTGTCATACATGTTGTAAGATTGGAAATCTTACCGGACGCCGAATGCAGAAATTGTTTGGAAGAAGATGCGGTAGAGACAAGTCAGCACTTCCTCTTTGATTGTCCCGCGTTTGAGAGGTTAAGACTTAGATACTTGGGGGCACATCCCTTCAGACATCCTACCGAACTGGCGGGTGTTGAAGTTAAGCGCCTTTTCAAATTTGTTTTGGCCACTAAACGTTTTGCCAATCCGTAAATCCGAACACGGGAGTTCTTATTTTCAATGGCTTCACAAAGTACTACATTTATCAGTCCACGTGCGATCTCTGATCAGCCATCTAAGCTAACTTAGTCAGGCAACCTTCTACTAATATTTCTGTAAAAAAAAATCAATTAAATAAATTGAACCTCTTCTAATTAGAAGCATGCGACCACTCTACATAGATGTCGCAATTAATTCGTCGAATAAAATTTTAATTCGCAAATGTTTGCAATAATACATACAATATGTATATTTCTATTCATACTATCATTTCTGTACCTCCATACTCATTTTGTATATGATTTCCATTGCACAACAAAAATCACTGAGAACCCAAATTCATTTAAAAAATTATTGACCACCCCTGGTGAATAATCATATAAAAAGCGGATTTATTTATATACTATACATACATATGTATACATATAAAGGGGTTGAATGTTAATTCATAATTTAATTTACTACATGTACATATAGTTTGTGAAAAAGATTAACTAAATATAATATTTTCGACTCCCACGTCACTGTTGACAGACATAACTTTGAGGTCGTGAATAATTTCGTATATTTTGGAACCAGCATTAACACCAATAAAAGCGTCAGCATCGAAATCCAACGCAGAATAACTCTTGCCGGCAAGTGCTACTTCGGACTGAGTAGACAATTGAGAAGTACAGTCCTCTCTCGACGATAAAGACCAAATTCTACAAGTCACTCATCATCTCCGTCATGCGTGTGTTGCAGAGGCATGGAGGTTGCGAGTTTTCGAGAGAAAGATGTTAAGGAAGCGGCTGCGCTGACTAGGTCATGTTGTCCGAATGGACGAAAACACTCCCGCTCTAAGAGTATTCGACGCAGTACCCGCCGGGGGAAGCAGAGGAAGAGGAAGACCTCGACTCCATTTGAAGGACCAAGTGGAGAAGGACCTGGCTTCGCTTGGAATATCCAATTGGCGCCACGTAGCGAAAAGAAGAAACGACTGGTGCGCTTAACTCGGCTATAATCGCGTAAGCGGTGTTTACGCCAGTAAAGAAGAAGAAAGAAAGGTATTGTAGCTTCGGTAAAAAAGTTAACGCTTTTTCTTGTTTTTTTTTTTTGCTTTTGACGTTTTAATCTTTCATAGTAATAACGATTTGTATTATTGTTATTTGTATTATATTGTTAGCCAAAAAAATATTTGATCCTGTATATATCAGAGGGGATATGACTTTATCGAGACAGAGCGCTTAAAAAATAATTCCAGTTTAAGTAAATTTAACTGATTCACTCACAAGCCCCTTATCTGTATTGATGGGTGTGTCGATCAGCTGTGTCGAGACATTGCGGCGCAATTTTCCTTTATATACTATATACATATATGCATATACATAGCTATATAAGTGTGTTAGCGACAAACTAATTATATTTTTAAGAGGTTAAAATTTATTTACATACCTTTTTGTTACAATAAAGATTTCAATAAATAAATTAAACACGTTTTTCAACATATGTTGTTACTGTGCTGCCAATAAACGTTGTCCAAAATAACTTCAATTAGTCAATATACCACAACTTTCGTCTTAAACAAAGGGAAGCACCGCTCCACATCGGATTTAATAATGTTGCTGCAGACTGATGTCAAGCATACATACATATGTACAACCACATGTAGCCCCATATACGCATGTGAATTAGTCACAAATAAGAATGCGTTTCAAGCAAAAATGAATTGGTCACAATTTTCTCGTAGCGGGTTTTCCCCCAACTGTATTTGGGTTACCTTACTTCTTCGGCCAATGCAAGAGAAGTGCGGAAGTTCATATGGTGTTTACTTTCAATTTTATTTTGTTTTTTTTTACAATCGCAACAGCAAACACATGCCAGTATTCACTTATTATTTAAACGTTTTAATTATGTAGCGGTTAGTTGAGGTAAACTTCAAAAGCGAAAGTATATACATTTATATAATGCAAAAGTTTTCTTGCTCTTATTAAAACGATATTCTAATAGAAAAAATAATATAGGTTGAATGCCATTACACTTGATCTCATTTTTGCACGGTTAACTGGGACGGTAAATTACCCGTGCAAAAAAAAACAGATTTTCCTATAAAACTCACTATGAGGAAAAGAAAAACGTGCAAATCTATGTACATATACTATATATTCGTACAGTGAAAATTTTCACAATTAAAACAGGTTAAGGGGTTTTATACAGTTAGAAGAACGAATTTTTTCCGAGAAAACTTTTAAATTTATTGATTTGTTGGTATCGGTATCTTTTAACCGTATTTTAAGACTTAGTATTAGTAAAAAACATTTATTTAGAAAGGAACTACAGCTGATCTCCGAAAGCTCCTCTCAAAGAAGTCACTTTTGCGGTGAGCACTATACCTCTCAAATTAAAAAAATTAAACGCATTTCGTTAAAGTAATGTTAAATCTAGTAATTAATCGAAAGAATAAGCAAATAAAATTTTTTTCAAAATATGGAGGTTTCTAAAAAAAATCGTTTTCTGACCTAAATTTCGGCCTTAAATTGTTTATCAAAAAATATTTATCGATGAGAAAAAAAACTTCGATTAATTAATAGAAATTGTATTTAAGAAGTTTGTGTTAAATTTTGACACAAATCGGTTTAGCCGTTTGCGTATAACATCAAAAATATTCACCGGAACGAATTGAAATTTTCTGTGTAAAAAAATATAAATACTTTCAAAGTTCCTATAAATATGTTTTGTTAATTATTTAAAAACAAAATCGTCATTAATCGCTGTCCTTTGCCTTTACTTCTTCATACAGCTCACGGTAGCACGGTCCAAGTTGAGGAAACGATTTTCTAGTTTCAACGTCATTTCTAAACTCTTATAACCATAACATGTTCTGAAATTAACTTGTATTGACGTAAGGGATTTTGATTTTATTGCAAACAACTATATAACTAAAATCAGAAACAGGTGCTAAAAAGTTAAAGCGTGCAACTAGGCAACTAGGGGTATACAAAAAACATCTGTAAAAAAATACGTGCAAAACAAACCGTGAGAGGAAGGAGATCGGGAGAGGAGTGTATATATACTCGTAATATACTATATGTACATATATCAGGGTGGATCAAAAAAAGCCATGTTTTTTTTTCGATTCGTACTCTGAAAAATTGGTTGATATCTTTGAAATAGTTATACATTGGTACACCAATTGGTAGAGCATTCAATGTTCTATAAAATCTATGAAACGAAATATTTTTTAATTTTTTAGAAGAGAGATACAAATTTTTCTATCAATTTCTATTTATCAACCAATTTTTCAAAACACATTCAATTTTTTTACCTACCCTAATGTATACCGTTCAATTCGTATGGCAGCTATGTATATGTTATAGTCATCCGTTCTGAATATACAGCTATGCTATAGTTTTCCGTCCTTAAACTGAAAATTTCAAATAATATTTCCAATATATTTGAGTCACAGTTGATCTCTTCAATTAGTTTATCTTTAATCACGTTTTTCTCGAAACAGTATTTTTCAAACTTGCTGTAGCTATTTTTCAGATACAAATTGTCCGATGACAGCGTATATACAATGATATAAACATACATAGTTCTCCTTGCAATGGCCTACTAGTTTTTTGATATGATCAAAAATCGATTTTTAACAAATCAAAAACGACCAACATTTGGTATACGTATAAACACAACTTTTTTTCAAACCCAATTTTTAAATTTGTAACTATTTCCCAATTTTTTGAACCGTAAGTCATTGAAAGCACAATATATTCTGGAGAGAATTTTTTTTAGGTTTCATTAACATAGAAGACAGAAATCATTGTATGACTCTAAGGGTCGTTTCCTTAGCGCAGTTGGAGGTCACGTGTAACTCGTAAAATATTAATGTATTCTTAGAATATATGTAAA